AATGTGTGACTGCAGAAGTGCTGGCTAGAGCCCATCTCCAAATTGGATTGGGAAGAGTTGGATCCTGTCATTTTGGGTTTTATTCTACTGTTTGTATCCTTTTCACACAGCTTTCCTTATAACTGGCTTTTATTTAGCCCTCAAGCTTAACATTTGGAGCTTCTATTTGTTCAGTTTTTTTTCATCGTCTTGGAAAATGATGTTGATTATTCCAGTAAGCATCTTTCTTTTGTGTTTTGTTTCATTTTCTATTCTATATGAGTTCCTATTCAGTAGCTCATTGAAACAACTGAAGCGATTAAAGCAACTAACATCTGGTATGTGTTTGCTTGGTCTCTTATGCTTTCTCCAGGGCAAGAAGTGTGTGCTTTGGAATGGTTAGCAGTTTATTATGTTATATATGAATACTTGTTGTTTACAGAAGATCAAAGAGGTGAATGTTGCACTTCCAGTTGAGAGTTGCAAAGTTTGTGGCAGTTCTATGTTCTTAGGATGTTCACGACACAGGCTTTAACACTCCAGGAAAACACTGTTTCCAGCTGGGCAGAGTTTTACCCTTGAGTAAAAAGCTGGCTGAGAGAAATGTTCCCTTGAGTAGAGAGCATGTTGTGCTGAGACAGAGGCTGTCATCTGTGGTCCTTGCCCTGTGGCTGGAGTCACTTGTTTAAATGCCACAAATTGTTCTGATGATGCCTGGCACAAAAGTGTCCTGGTCCATGGCACAGGGATCAAGTCTCTGCAAGTCAAACAAGACATTCTTCAGGTCATGAGGCTCCTCTTAACATAGTTATCATGAAACTTTCCTGTACGTTCTTACCTTAATCTAAAAATCACTTTATAATAGTATTATAGCAGGTTCTGGATCATGGCCTTCCTAAGCAAGATCCATTTTCTCTCTGTAATTTGCACAAATTATGACTGCAGTGCCCTCAAAACAAAGCAGTAAATTGTTGCTCACTGAATTTATTATACTGAGCAATTACATGGAAGCACCATTATGAAAATCATCTACATTATCGATATGGGCTTGTATTGCTATCTCAACAGTAAATCAGTTTAGTGTACTAAAGGATTTGCTGAGCACCAAGTTCTTGCTTTAGTTATTGCTGAGTAAAACTTGCTTTGTTTTTGTTGTGGTCAGAAATGCCCACAGGTAATCTCAGATCTTGCCTGGTTCTTGTAGTGCTAGCTTTCATTGCTAGTGCTCTCATCTTACTGACCTACTGAACATGAATACAGATTTTACTCACTGAAATTAATCAATGAGTTAAGTATTTCTGGTTTTGAATATGCTCTGACCTCCATTCACCCCAGTCCATGAGTTTTATTTATTTTTAAATTTATAGTGTTGTAAAACACGTCTTGGCTCTAGATCTTGAGTGGTGTGGTGCTCTTTATCAGCTCAGTCCTGCTGCCCTTCATCTATGAGTAGAGATCAGTGCTTTTATTTTATGTCTTAATCATTCCTGAAAGCTGAGCCTTGGGAAATGCCTGGATTAACTGTGTCTTACAATCTTTCTGTTAGCTAGTAAATATCTGTCTTCAAACTACATTTTAAGGTGTAAAATCACTTCAATGTATGCAGTTTATCATGCCATAAAACCTGACTATGCACAATCTTTCTTAGTTAGAAAGCAGTACATGTCATATAGGGCTTTTTCCAACCCCCTAGGAACAAGAACTTTATCTTGATTATATGGTAGGTTATGCACACAGTAAAATTAATGTTTAAAACTAATTTGGATTTAAGATAAGTTGTTTAAAGGGAGTTGCAGTGTGGTCAGAAAAAGAATTGTTTTCCTCTATTTTTCAAAATAGCAATTTTCTCTCATAATATGGATAAAGCTCAATCTGGATAGAGATCTGGTTTTGCAGAATTAATTAACAGAGCAGATATATAGTTTCAGCATCTTCTGGGGCTGGTTGTTCATGTGTTAAACGTGTCAGTAGTTGTTGTACACAGGGAGATTACCATGAGATTTTCTGTACCTTTGGTTGGAATGAGTCCTGTGAAGAACGAGGATACTTGAGATTTATAGCATCAGACCCTGTGTTCGTACTTGGATGAAAGACTATTAAAAAACAAAACCAAGAAAAATAGCAAGAGACAACAGCCAAAAAAAAAAAAACAAAAACAAGAAAAATAGCAAGAGACAACAGCACTGAGGACATCTGTAGTGAAGTTTGTGACAAACCTAAAGAAACCCTTGCTTGTGGTGAAGTTAAAGGTGAGATGAATGAGAGGGCCATGGCTTAGAAAGACCTTTGTAACCTCTGTCTAAACAGTGGATTAAAATCTGTTCTGCCTTAACTCATGCCCTGCACCCCTGCCACTGTGAGCTCCCAGTGATGCATTTCTTTGTTCTCATCACATCTTGAAGGCACTGGCGTGGCAAAGGCAACAGAAGTCCCGTGCTTCATGGGGGTTGCGGGCAGTTGGTGCTCTTCTAAGCAGTAGGTGTTCTTCATCACAGAGAAAATGAATCACTGCATTATGCAGATATGACGAAACAGTCTCAGCTGGAGGGATTCATCTTCTGGCTTATAAACTCTCTCCATCTCTCTGGGCAGTTTGGAGCTTTTTGTCCCAGCATGGATCATTTCCTCCTCCTCTCCTTAGCATTGAATCAGAAGTTATTCAGTTTTTAAAACTTTTCCCATTTCCCGTTTTGCTATAATCAACACGTGACAAGGACAACGTTGCACATGAGGGTTGACCCTACTGTGAAGCAGGATGGGGTTGTCTCTCTCCAGGTATTGCTGCAGCAAAAGGATGTTGGGTGCTCTGCAGCAGAGTGGGCCCCTCCAAGGCAAGTAGCCTCACTGGATTCTCCCATTTGGGAAGGTAGATTTGCAATCAACAGCTGGAAAATGGCTCATATTCCTCAAAGCAACCTATTCAGTCAGCTTGTTTCAAAACTGACACAGAAGTCAGTTCTGGATTGGTTAGAGGTACCTAAGAAGTTGAATAGTGAATTAATCTGGGTGACTGATGGAGCTGTAGCTAGCAGTGGTGGAGATGCGGACTTATCTCTGTTCAGTATATTCACAGTTGATTCATATCAAGAGGTCAGTTCAGCTCAGTTGAGTCTTCTCTTCCCCACAAGACCCCATCGTCCTAGTCTTTTATTTGAAGCTGTAGAAAGAAAACACTTGGTATCTTTACAAATTCAGGGAGCAGGGCTATAATGTCTCAGAAGAACTAGTCCCTTAATACAAGTACATGAGGCCGAATGAAAGCTGAATTGTTTGAGCTGACAGTGAATAAAGACTGTGGGTGGTTTGTTTTTTTTTTCTTTTTCTTTCACCTCCTACTTGTTCTGGTAGTGTAAGGCAAGGCTTACCCTTGAGGCCTGGTATCCCAGCCATCCACTCTGACACTTATTGAAGCCTACAGTGACTCCTGTTTGGGGAAAATGCCCAGGTTTCTCTCACATAAAGCAGTGTTGGTGCTCCTTTCTCATGCCAGCATACATCAGGGATGCCACCATGGTGCACACACTACAAACAGGGAAATAGATATAACCTTAATGACCTCCATTAACTGAGTCAGGAGACCCTGAGGAGCAGCAAAACACATTCAAACTCTAACATGTTTCAACTTTGAATCAGCATTGGTGTTATGGCAGGAGGCATTGAAAGATGAAGAGGTGTAGAAATTACTGTCTATTCCTTGATTCCCCCAAGCCATTAAAAGCATCAAAGCAATTTCTTTGCATGATATGAGTCCATCTGTTAGGACTGGAGAATTACAATCTTCTCTTATGACATTTAAAATTCATGGACTTCACTATTAAACCGAAATAAATTAGCTCAGTATTCATCAATTAATGTTTAAGTATAACACATCAAAAAAAAAATTGCTCTTGTCATGATCAGAAGTTATGTATAATCTCATGATGAGTGTAAAAACTGCCAATTTTGGCTTGGAGACAGCTGTTCATCAGAAGAAAAGCAAGAGTTAATTTCTTCTGAAAAAGTTAACTTATTTACTCATAACTATCTGCCTTTTTGAATTGAGTTTCAGCTGAATTTTTTAACTTGTAGTCAAATATGGAAACACTGAAATGTTGTTCTGTCTATCTGCAGGTATCCACAGTTACTTACTGAGGCAAAATTTCTGTGGAAGTTCCATCTCTGGAAGCTCCTGTTTCCAGAAATGGCATTTCAACACCAACTTCTCAGCATTACCATAGTGGTTGTGGCCATGCTGTGGCAGAATAGGAATCGCTTCTGGAACTGACCAAGATCATAAGAGGGTTGTGACCCTCCAGGTGAGTAGGAAGGCAGGTAGAAAAATACCTCAAGGGCGTGCAGATACTCAGATATGTACTAGACAAAACTCTGAAGTCAGGAATTAGAAAGCTTCAAACGGACATTTGATACATTCTCAAGAATACAGACTGCTCTTCTGTGGATTACTTTAGAAAGAAATTAATTGATATGACAACAGAAGTAATTGCTATCCACATTAAAGCAGATAATGTTGAAAGTAGTGGATTATAAATTGCAACATCATATAAATCGATGCAACTCTACTGAAACCATAATTGAGAGACACCAGCTCTTAAGCTTTGTCCTAAATGTTTTGATGGATTGACAAGTTTTCTGTCTTTAAACTAAAGATTTTTTTACATCATTGAAGAATGACTATTAATTTCAAAGTGGTAGTAGAACAGATATTGATTTACTGATGAATTAAGCATTCTTCCTCCACATTAGAGAAAATTAAGGAGAGTTAAACCAGAGCCTATTTCTTCAAATTTTCTAAAGCTGTATTAAACTATCACACTGATTTAAACCTACTCCTGTGAAATGCTGAGCAATGGTATTTGTAATTTTGTTTCATTTTTTGTTATAGGATTTCACGGTAAATGGAGGTACAAAAAAGAATGTATTACAAGAGCAAAAGTGAATTAAATGTTCTAACAATATCTCATATTCTTTTCAGGTTCAATGTAATCTCGTTGGGCACCAGCTGTAGAACTCATCTGTTCAAAATGGTTTATGGCGAATTTTTCCGCAGACCTGGCAAAGATGCAGAACTTATCAATTTGAATGTGGGTGGCTTTAAGCAATCGGTGGACCAAAGCACCTTGCTCCGATTTCCCCATACCAGGCTTGGGAAACTTCTCAAATGCCATTCAGAAGAGGCTATTCTAGAACTGTGTGATGATTATAGTGTTGCAGACAAGGAATATTACTTTGACAGGAATCCTTCCTTGTTCCGATATGTTCTGAATTTTTACTATACAGGCAAACTTCATGTCATGGAAGAACTTTGTGTCTTTTCCTTCTGCCAGGAAATAGAGTACTGGGGGTTCCTGCTGCAGCAATCGGTACCAAGAAAGGAAAGAAGAAGGTCCTGAGAAAGACTGGGACCAGAAGAGCAATGACGGAAGCATAGACTCCTCTAACGAAGAGTCATCCATATTTGATAAAGAGCTGGAAAAGTTTGACAATCTGTGTTTTGGTGAAATAAGGAAGAAGATCTGGGTCAGAATGGAAAATCCTGCATACTGCTTGTCTGCCAAGCTAATTGCTGTGTCGTCCCTGAGCGTTGTCCTGGCATCCATTGTGGCCATGTGTATTCACAGCATGCCAGAGTTTCAAAGGCTGGACGCCAACGATAGGGAGATTGAAGACCCTGTGCTGGAAGCTGTGGAGATCACATGCATCATCTGGTTCACTGCTGAGCTCGTGATCAGGCTGATCACCGCTCCAAGTCAGAAGAAGTTCTGGAAGAAACCATTGAATATCATTGATTTTGTTTCTATTATCCCGTTTTATGCCACTTTAGCTGTGGACACAAAGGAAGAAGAAAGTGAAGATATTGAAAACATGGGTAAAGTGGTTCAGATCCTGCGGCTAATGAGGATATTTCGCATCCTGAAACTGGCCAGGCACTCTGTAGGACTGCGGTCTTTAGGTGCCACCTTGAGACACAGCTATCAGGAAGTTGGACTTCTGCTTTTGTTTTTGTCTGTTGGGATTTCTATTTTTTCAGTGCTTGTCTACTCAGTGGAGAAAGATGATGACTCATCAGAACTGCACAGCATCCCCATTTGCTGGTGGTGGGCAACCATCAGCATGACCACTGTTGGTTATGGGGACACTTACCCGGTCACTCTTGCTGGAAAGCTGCTCGGCACCCTATGCATTATCTGTGGGATACTGGTGGTATCACTTCCAATCACCATTATTTTCAATAAGTTTTCTAAGTACTATCAAAAACAGAAAGACATTGATCCAGACCAATGCAACAATGATCGCAAAGAGAAGTGTAACGAACTACCTTATTTTAACATTAGGGATATTTATGCAAAAAAGATGCACTCCTTCATTTCTAGCCTTTCTTCAGTAGGAATTGTAGTCAGTGACCAAGATTCAACAGATGCCTCCAGCATCCAAGATATAGAGGATGTTTATAACGCAACATCTTTTGAGAATGGTACAGGAAAATGAGCTGAATCACATTCTCCTCCCTTTATTTCTCTTCTGATTCTTGGTAAATGTGGACTTACACACTTCAGTGAATTTATTAAGAGCAGTTAATTCTCAGGGTACTTAACTCTCAGCCATATTTGGACATTCTTTGCTCTGAGGATGCCATAAAAGCTTCATTGTTTATATGAGGCTTTAAAATATGCCTCATACGGTGATTTAGTTTTTACACAACTGATGTTATGCATTTTTTGGGAGAAAAAGTCAACAACTTCAAATGTGAAATCCGTGTTCAGTTTTGTGGGCTTTTCTTTTTCTTTCATTGGTTGCTTTTTTTCCCCTGCAGCAATCTGATAGTTTATACAGAATGTGCTTTTATAATTTGCTACTCTTCAGGTAGACATATATTACAAATATGTAAGAACTATCGCACAGTCGGTGCAGTTTTTATCTGCAAATACATCAGGTAAAAGAAGGAATTATGTACATGTAAAAATGTGCTCACTAACACATTTATGTAATTTTGGAGTTGGCAACCCTTTTGGTTTGTTGGGACAGAAAATATATTGGTACATATTGTTTTTACTCCATGGAAGCATAATATTTATGAATTTCATTCCAAAAGCACAATGCATTTTTAGTTTGTTAAAATAAATTAATCCCATTGTGCCTATACTTTTCCCAGTGTCCAGCATGGCCAAGCTCTATCAGGTACTAAAGGGTCTAAATCACAAGTCCCAGGATAAGAGTCTGGTATAGGCAGGACAGGAGCGTATTGTACTCTTTAGCCACCTCTTCTACCATTGTGAACCTGAGCAATTCTGGTGCCCGGAGAGGATCCTGCAGTGACTAAGACCACCTCGGTGGCTTCCCCAGAGGCTTTGTCTTGTGGGCTCTGAAGGAAATGGCTGTGGTGGTCATTGGAAGGTATTGCTCCCTGCAGTCAGCATGGCTCTTTTGGTGGAGGTTACTGCCTCCGTGGTAGGAGGAAGGGTCTTGGCTGCAGCATTTTGGCTGCACTGTCTCAGTCCAGAGCTGTAATGACAAGCAACAGAGATATGCAGACATGGTATCCTCTACCACACATCACCCACCAGAGATGTAGGATGTGCACTCCTTGTGGGCACCCATATATGAAACTATTTCAGCTTGTTTTTCTAAATCTCATCTGTTGGTGGTGGCAGCTTTCCTGGCTTGTGCTATGGGCTGGAGCAGTGTTCATTGCCTGGCAGAGCGCTGCAGCTCTGTGCATTCCTCTTCTCTCCAGGGATCTCTTATGCAATCAGCTAATCCTGCTGTAGTTCAGAATGGATCTTCTACAGCTACCTAAAAGGAAAGCCAGCCCTTGAGCTTAGCATAAAAAAGTAGTGCTGGAGAAACCTGAGGACCTTATAAAAGTCCATAGTGCTTCTAAACACTCATTTTCCCTGTTTGTCTAGTGACTAAATTAGATGCTGGGCAACAGAGAATTGAAGATACTGTGAAATGTTGCTGTTGTCCATAAAGAGAGGTGGTGGTTGGTTTGTTTGGTGTGCTGTTTTTTGTTTGTTTGTTTTTTTTTTTAATTATTGACCTAAATGCTGAAGCCCTCATTGACTTTCCACTCAGGCAGATCAAATTCACTAGGAGCTGACTTCAAGACTTAAGTAAAACCAGAAGATGGCAGTTTATTTTAGGCTCTGGAAAGGGTTGATTTTTCAGGTGTCTGCTAGGTTTACAAAATATATAAAGTAGATGGGGTGCACTTATGTTTACTGAAGCACAGAACTCTAACCTCTCTCTGAGATGGAGGAACAAAAAGAATAGGATAGATCAACCTATACCTCAGAAAAAGGTGTCCCTCACATCTGCTGTGCATCAATATAGTGATGTGGGTCTTAATGAGAATATTTTGAGCTTTGGAGAAACTTCAAAATTTTACTTATTACTTGCTGAATGTCATAAGTGTATGTGATACTTCACAGATAATCAAGGTTAAATTCTTCCCATAGTCAGTGCAGGAATACCAAAAGGGAAAGTCAACCTAAATGTGTTCTGTTCTCATTAACAATTAACTTCACAAAGATGCAATGATGTAAAATTTTAAATATGTATGTGCATATGAACCTAATAAGGACCAGCAGGTTAGCAGCCTAAAAATTAATCTTTGTCCAAAGAAATTCTATTGGTAGTCTCCATATAAAGATATATTACATTTCCACTGAAGTTCAAAACCAATAAAAAATGTTGTAATACAACAAAAATGACAAGGAATTTGTATTGAACAGTTGAAAAAACCTATTACTGAAAAATCTCATATATCAAGCATTATCCAAGGATCACAGAGTATACAACTTTTTGTTTTAAATTTTACTGACTGGTAATTTGTCATAAAACTGATAAGCTTTTGATCAAACACATGAATCAGTTTTAAGGTTGTGACACTATTCAAGTTCCTCTGACTTTTTTAATGCATGCATACAGCTTGCAGCAAAGTGAGGAATGTCTTTTCAAACATATCAGAAGGTAAAGTACATGGCATCCAAATATCATTTGTGCATATAATGCAGCTGTATCTTAAAAAAAAAAAAAAAAAAGAAAAAAAAAAAAAGGCTTTGTTGTTTTCTGTTTCCCTTGCTGGAATATATCCAGCACTTTGGTTTCACATAGACCTAACTGGGAGCAGGATGTGAGCCATGTTTCATGCCAAAAGATACTCCCCTCGAGGCAGAACTGCAGTCCTATAACAGGCATTGGTTACTACCAGTTTAGTTTGGATAATAAGAAAGACCCTTAAAGATAGAAATACTTTGACAAGGTCTTAGAGTGTCAGAAGACTTGAGTGTCAGAAGTAAGCAGACGAGAGCAAATACTGAGATACTGCATGTTCTTCCTGCTAGTAAAAGTTTTTTAGTAGAAGAGTTTACTAGGAAGAAATAAGTGTAAGAGGGGATGGTTTTTTATTTAATTTGTCTTCTTCCTTGGTCTACAGATACATAGTATTGATATGTAGTATCAGTGTCAACAGAAGGTAGATTGTCTAGTTTTTGTATTCCTGAACTGCACATTTTTCTCTTTAAAAATTCTTCCTAAATTCTGTCTACACAGATTCTTTGTTTCAGACACTGGACCATGGAAAAGATTACCACCCAGATATGCATCCCATTTTGTATGGGAGAGGTTTGTCTGTCTTTATACAAACCAGTTTACTGGTATGATATTATTTCCTTTGCCATGATGGCAAATGTTTCTCTTTTGGTGTGCAGTATTTCTACAGTAGCATCCATCTTTGCTGAGGTTTGCCCTAATGTAGCATGGGAATACAGCATTGCACTGTGCAGCCGTTCCCTGTTTGAGTAGCTTCCAGCTGGCAGGGGGTATCACCCAACTGCCCACAGCTCATGCCCTGCTGGGAGCAGGCTCTGTCACTGCCACCATGTTTTCAGTGTGTGTGTTAGAAGAGGGCAATAATTCCTTATAAAAAGGGATGACAGAAAAGCCTGAGATGACCTTAGAAGAAAGGAAAAGAGAAAGAAGTTGACAGAAAGAGTCCACTCTTATATTCACTCTTTTTTTTTCCCCCACCAGTGCTTTTCTTTCTTCCCTTTCTGCTTCACATCCTCTCTGGCTACCCCCTTGGCTTCCCTTTCCACCAAGTCTGTTGTCCAGCAGTTCTGTCTCTGTCCCAGAACGAGGGTCTTTCTGAGGCCAGAAAAGCATGTTTGATGTGCCTGGATGGCAGCAGGCAGAGCTTAGCAGGGATGGAGTTACTGACCACTCCTGCTATGTGTGTGAGCAGTCATTGACACGATTATGGGCTGTGGTTTTTTGTAAGAAAAGCCACAATATGGCTTAAATCCATGAGCATAAATGTGAGCTAAAGAAAATGGCACATCTGTGTCAGCCCTGTAAATGAAATGTCACTTCCAGGTTAGGTGGAAATTAATGTCAGGCACCATAATGTGGAACATTACCATTTAAAAGCAGACTCTGTGCTCATTCCCATGCTATGGGCTGCTGTCAGGGAATGCTGAGAGTATCAGGTAGATTTAAGTGGCAAAGGCAGTACACAGACTCGTGGTGTGCCAAGGGCTCCTGACAGTTTGATGTGTATTAATACATTTATTCATTTCCACATATTCCTAACATCTAGAGCAAGTGACAGAAAACCACTAAGCTGTGGAGGGTTTCTCTAAAATTTTTTGATTTGCTGACAGTGTTTGTGAAGCTGCTAATATCTCTTCATCCAACATTTCTCAAAGAAAATCAGAATAACCCTGTGCTAGATGTGCAGTTTGTGGCTGATAGCTGTAGCTTGGCTGCAGTTGGTACACATTGCTATCTGGTGCTCTGCAGCTGCAGTGCTGCTGCTTGTGTTTCTGAAATGTTTATGCTCTGTCAATCAAGAGACAGCAGATGCCATTATAACCATCTCAGCACTTTCCTGCTGCACAGTAATTGTGGTGTCTCTTCTAAGCACAACAAAATGTCATGATTTGCTGAGACCTCTTTTTTAATTTCTTATGTAGTTGTAGTTAATTTTTCATGATGAGCTTATGGTTTGAGAACAATCTAGCAGAAGAAAAATGTCATTGTGTGTTTCTGGACAAGCTACAAAGCTTTGTTATTGACTTCCACTCTGGACATCACCCTCCCACATCAGTGGCACAACTAAGGTGGTAAAAGGAGTGGTAATTCACTGTGGTGTAGGCTGAGAGCTGTTACAGGTAGTTAAGGATTAAAAGGCAGAGCTCTTAAGGAGTGGGTTTAGTTTATATGTAATTGTATATATAACCTCTAGGCAGAACTCATTTAGGTGTATAATACACAGATTAAATATAAAATATGACACTTTCCCTGAGAAACCACCTACATCTCATATCTTTTTAATGACTGTTTTGGAGGGGACAGTCTTTGCCTGGGGTTCTAGCAGGTCAAGGGCTCTGAGACACAGGCTCTCTCATCTGCACACACACATCATTTTTCCCTGAGTCACACATGCAAGTGGGAGGGAGAGACTTTGCAGCACCCCCAACAAGCCC